GTTTAAAAACAAAGTATTATCTGTGGTGTGATTCTACCCCCGATGTTGCCCCTCCCTTTCTACTCCTTCATGGAAAGCCAATCTATGCAACATTTACCTAAAGCCAAACGTTTAAGGCAATGGTTGTTTTTAATAAACGAAATAAATGTTTCTCTTCACTTAGTCGAATTCATGAGTTCAACATCTAATACAAAACTCTGATTATCGAGGTCGTAGATACCTCTTGCTATTTCTAATGTGACTTATTTTTCCAATAGTATGTGCAACATTAATGACGATTCATTATTAGGTGGTCGCTTTGATATTGGGAGTTGTTTTAAGTTGTACTTCGTTTGCTGTCACACTAAGCCCTTTGGTCCAATGGTTACTGTGTCCGACTCGCATGCCGTTGGTACGTGGGTTCGAACCCTCAAAGGGAATATGGTGCTTGTGTTCTTTGGCAACACACTTTACTACAATTGCCTCTCTCCACCAAGGAGTGTAAATTGTTACCTAGGGCGTTAGAGACCATTATGAGCTGATCTCGAGCTGCTGCAAAAACTGGTCTCAACAGTTTATGAAAAATGTGAAAGTGTACATGAAAAGTGAAAGTTTGAAATCCGGCTCCGACGCTTATCCAGATCCAACAGAACGTATGAAATGTGTATGCAAATACAAAGAGAATTATTAACTGTCTTTTTATTTACTTTCAATTGGGGCCAAACTGTGTTTTATGGACAGAAAGGTATTTGCAATGACACGAATAATCACCTCGGTCAAAAACACTTGCATCTGTCGCCGTTCCGTTTGAATTGCTGATGATGCAACTTTGTCTTCAGAGAAAGTGTGCCTTGCAAGCAAAGCACTAGTAGTTCACAAAAGTTGATATGTAACTTGCTCAAATACGCGCCCTCTGTTGCTCGCGCACGGAGCCCATTGGTGGTGCGGTAGAGTTCCTTATACTAGGAGCTTACGGTTGATGAGGGTAGATCGCTTATCTTGCAGCGGTAGTTGCGAGGGGCGTAGCCCTAAGATAGCCCTAAGACTTATTTAGGTTCCCGTAGTGGCACTGGATGCACACAAATAATTGTGGGGTTCACTGCTCTAAGTCAACGTCCAGTCACATCACATAGCTCTCCATTCAAATCCACATAGGCAGGTTCTTATCATTACGTTTGTGTATCTCATAAGTTCGTTGCACCCTTGTACTCATGTTTGAATTATAGAGCGCCCTCTATTGATTTCTTGTGATCCAATATCCGGATGAGTAGGCCTCTTTGTGATTACAGAAGGTGTGAATAAAACAGTGGTCATTATTCTTGGTAAATGACTGGTGTCCCAAGGCTGTTCATTGGTTGTCTCTCTCAGTTACGTCATTAAGCATTAGGCCAATCAGAGTAGAACAAACTGCCCGGTCACACACACAAATAAACAACCAGCTATCCGGCCGGGACGGTATATTTCCATCCCAACGGACTCGTCTCTAGCCGCTCAGGGACTTTCCGGTACGAGCCGTCCGCGCCACGCCTGTGGAGAGGGCGCCCTCTTTCGAGCACCGCTCCGCGCGAAGGGCGTGACGTCACAGTATCGAATCAGGATACAGGAAAAAAGTTTATCCAGGGCTTACTATTGGAAACGAGGTTGGAAAGAAAGTAAGTACTGGGGAACGAGGTTGCAATAAACCTTATTCACGAGGAAGCCATTTTCGATCGTGTTCCCTGAATGTATTTTATAAATTGTAAACTGTTGAATGGAATGGTGCCAGACTATTTAATGATTGGCGTGCATGCAACGCCTCACTTTCATTTTTTTTTTTATGGGGCTTAAAACATTAGGGTATGTTTAATCACAAGTTTTAAATTATTCATCAGAACAGACTGGTATTTATTTATTAAATTTATTCATTGTTTTCATTTGTACCCCCAAGTAACAAAAATGAAGACTTTACCTCGCGTTCAATTTAATATGGCCCACTCGAAAATAAAGTCTATGGTTGCAAACCAGTAAATAGACGTCAGTGATAATTACGGGCCATTCCCGAAATTATTTTAAAATACTCAAACTCTCCAAGGTGTCTGAGACACATATCGAATCAAAGTTTATTTCATCATTTTTCCATGATTTTCCGTTCAATTTTTGGGGGTTAACTTTTGGGAACAAAATGACCAATGACCTTTTGGAGAAAATTCCATCCAAGGATGATCAACCCCTAAAAGCAGTCTGGAAGCCCATATGCATCGCCATTGTCAAGATGGACGCCTACGTTCCATTGCAAAATAGAGCCATTTTAGGGCCTAATTTCATCCAAATTTCACGGTTTCCACTTGTCCGTTTTACAAATGTTCAAGTTGACGGCCCTCAAAATACCGGAGAATTTGAGGGCATGCAAATCGTGATTTGGCCGGTGTAGGAAATTTCGGGCCTATTTAAATGCTCCAGAATGACTTCTGCAACCTCAGGCAGGCCTCCTCTCCCCTAGACTTGGCCAAGTCTGGTTTGCGCTCGGCCTGTGCCTATATAGTAAATACACTCAGGGTGCAGTGAACTAATTCAAGTGAGAATTTCTACGCGAGCTGATTAGCATAAAAAAGTGACCCCACAGTTTCTTTTGAAAACGGAGACCGTTTGGCTTTAAAAACGGTGGAATTGTGTAAATGTAGCCAAGGATCAACTCCCTGGATTTGGGCTTCCATCTGAGGGCAGGCTTGATAAAATTACGGTTGAAAAATGGGTCCTATTTGCCTGAGAAAGTGGAAGGATGCCACTTGTAAAACGGCTATACATGCAGGCTTGGGAACTATCACTTTTCGGGAGGTGATTTTGTTTTGGTGTGAATATTTAAAAATGTAATCGGCTATAGTCTACCCAAAATTGAAAAGAAATGAAAATATGAAGTACAAAACAATAATTTAATTTTTGTTTGAGAAACCCCAGTGATGTCGGATTGCATGTTATTTGGCCCTGAACTTTGTTGATTTTACACTGTTTTCAATGGAGCTTGAATTGGTTCAGTGCACCCCTCACAGCGCATATCGCATACATCTGTACGTCCTTACAGTACACAACGCGCGCCCTCATGCGTCGAATCCGGACCATCATGTTAAAAACGTACATGTACATGTTATTTTCAATCGATGCAGCAACCCAGATTGATCAAGTCGGAATTGCTAACTTTTGCACCACATGTATGCACATGCTCTGCAATACATGCACACACATGTACGTGTAATACGCGTGTTGTACAATGTACATATGTGCGCATTGCTATACGGCACTGAAGTGGAATGCGCGCTGAAGTGCACCTTGTCGGGCATCTGGAAAGACGTAAACTAAGTGATTATTGCCACTTTCTTTTTTAGATACCGACTTAATTAAAGCAATTCCGACTTGAGTCAAGTCTACCTCTCCCCTAGTGTTCAAGATTTCGAACAGTATTTTTACATGAATGTATGTCGAGATTTGTATAAGTTATTTTCTGATGCCCTCTCTCAAAAAAGTTTTCACGAACTTAGCTATCATGATCCAGCCATATGTTGACGGTTACCCAGTTTCGGTCAGTATCTTTGTTCAAGGAGCCCTAGTCAGAATCCATTAATCCATACATATTGTCATGTAGCATCACGCCCAGATTTACTGCTAGCAACAATTCACAATGCTGCAAACCTCGGAAATAGCAAACGAGAATTACTAGTTCCAAAGAAATAAGAACACAACAACACCACCACTTTGGACAACACTGTTCGTCCTTCAGAAGAGAATTATGGACGGTTGAATGATGACCAATGCCTCGCCCAGTTAAATGAAATGGCATTTGTTTGCTCAGATAACTGAAATGAATTGCATTGAAAGTAATGTGTATTGGTTACTTAGCTCTAACTTGAAACGCTGAATTATTTTTCGAGGGCACGTCAACTTGACATACAAGTTGTGGTTGAATTGCTTCCCCTTCAATATGGCTGCTGCTCAGTTAACACCATTGAATTCAGCAATAGGTTCAGCAGTTCATTTGCATCCGTGTTCAGCTTCACACCGAGCCTCGGGTTCGATCGTCTGTGTCGTACGATACATGCAGTGAGCTAGTTCATCTGTGGGCGCCCGCCATAATCGCTGCAATCATAGTTAATGAAGCATGTCCGGCGAAAAGTATGTTTCAGTGATATTTTGTGAATGTACGTGTTCCTTGTTGGTTATAGTTTTCGAAAGGACGACTGGCCTTGGTTTGCCAACTTCCATCTGGCATGAAAAAAAAAGGGCATGCAGGGCATTTTATTTTTTCTGAACTTGCTTTGTTATATACACGTACACAGCGTTTCGCCCACGGCGCAAGCTTTAGTCATGCAAATTATGTCAAAAATAGAGTTCTGCTCGGAGCCAACGTGGCAGCACGCGGTGGCAGTCACGAGAAAGACAGATGAACCATAACTTCCCATAAGGTCAACCGCTCTATCGTTCGCTGCGCGCAGGGCAAAAATTGCATGCACCCACGGTAGGCCTTTGGAGGCGAACAGGGAAAATATTTGGGGGAATTCTGCCTTTGAAGATACGGTATTTGGCAGACAGTCGGAATATTTCCTAAGAAAGATATGTGGCTATAAGGCAATCGCAGATTTGTCCTGTAAAAAGATATACGGTATAACAAGCAATATATGACGGACATTTTCAAAATAGCTGATATTGCTTGTATATTGACTGTGTGTATTCTTTAAATCAATCAAAGAATCACTAAGGCATATAGGATCATGTGCTTTTCATGCATTGTGTTCGTTTCCGATAATAACTCCACTCCAAATCCAAAGACCAATGTTAAAAACCTAAACCTGTTGAAATTTCAACACAGTGGATCGATATTACACTTTTCGGGAAAACATTGCAAAACCGTGCATAACCTTTTGGTCACGAAACAAGATTTCGTCAGTAGCATAACTCTTTGTTTTAAAAAAATCAGTCAATAATTATTGACTGATCGTTGGAAATCGCTTATATTTCTTGGTTGCTTCTAAATGACAGCACGCCAGACGGAGAAAAATTCACGTGGTGGCTATCACCAGTTAGATCTTTAATGTAAGGTTTTTTTCAATTACAATTGGGATAACTTAAAATATTCCTATATCTGTGTCTTTAATTGGAGGAACCCTACACAACACAACACCTCCAGGAAACCAACTGCCCTCTATAGACCGTTTGCGCTGCAGCCACCTTGGAAGTGTGTGCTTCTGTTCAACATGGATACAGGCCTCGTGTGCGTTCATTGTTAAGGAATAAACATAACTAATTACACCAAGATGGCTGCTGAATGCAATCGCTCTATGGGTGCGTTCGAGTAGCTCACCCGGACCGACTCGGGAAAGGCAGACGGGTTAGCCACGACAGCCGGGCTAATCACATGCTCAAAATAACCGCGGGCTATCCACGAGCCGGGTCGGTGGTGGTTGACCCGGGTAAGCCCCGAGAATGACGTCAGACAATCGAACGGCACGGGGCTAACCCAGTTCGATCCGGGTGAGCTACTCGAGCCATGGAGCTATCCGTTTTATAGACTTTTTAGCGCCCCCTTGCGACGCCCATGGCTGCAACTCTAGAAATCATCTGTCCCGTGTTTAATGCCGAGTCGCACTTTATTACGTCCTAGCTCTGTGGTATATGCGCCGAAATACCATGCAGGTGGTTATTGCGTTCATGTCGGTAGTTCTCGTTTTTCCCATTCCTTTCACACCGCTGCAGCGGTTGAATTGAATGGATGCGAGACTGAAGACAAGAAGCTTTCGACATAAATGAGCTTTGCATAGCAGTTCGAGTATTATGTGAACATGTGGAACCAAAACCTCTCTAAATAATGCGCTTCTTCCTGGTTGGAGTATGTGCTAACGTAACCTAGTGCCTTCTGATACAACTCCAAAGGATGTTTATGAATCATGGCCTTAGTTGCTCCTAAACATGCGTTCCAACAGTACCTTATCCCTGGCTTAGGCGGAGGAGACCCCCACAGGTCCTGGTACACCTCACCAAGGGTCCGGTTCGCCCTCAGCATGGGAATATTTTTTTTCTTGAAACCGTCAAGGTACCACTGGGGAAAATTGATATTACCCCAGGCGGTGTACCAATTTCTGAGCCTTCGACAGGGCACACCCTTCTTGGCATTCGCGATAGTTTGCGGCACACTTTTAAAGCATCGTCCCCTGAAGTTGTCCCCCTGAAGAAAGACGGTCACATCGGCTAGCCGATCGTAGTAAGTGGTGATGTGAGTAAGATACACATGCGCCTCTCGGCCGACATTTTTAAGCCGTTCCCAAGAATAGAACTGGAATGGCGGACCCAGGTCGTTCCCATGAGAGTAGACGAGCGTGCGGTTGGCATAAAGCTTCAGCCAATCAAGATTCTCGTTATAATGAGCGATGACGATTTCATAATCCAAGGGGATGGTGCGATCCGTATTTTTCTTAGAGTTGGCAAGATTCGGATCAGGGTAAGTCAACTCCTGAACGTCGCTTAGGATCTTGTCCACGGCCTCGACCCCTTGCATGAAGGAATGATCTTGATTTGCAACCTCGTATCTCCAACCTCCAAACCGTCCACGGGAGTAGATGTCTTTGGTTTTCAGCCAAGGTTGTATCGTGTCAAGGAGCATATCTCTTTTAAGTGAAGGGACGGGGTATCCGTGGTCCAAGAGACGGTAGTGCTTGGAGACTACCATATCAGCAGTGATGAACCCGTACAACACTAAGGCTTGAATGGATTCTTTTATCAGGTTTTCCTTACTCCAATACGCTGGGTTAGAATTTTTCTGTGGTTCTGCTATTTCGCACATAAGCGACCAAAAAGCTCCCGATTTGGGTACATGGTCATCTGAATAATTGGAGAACATTGTTACACGATAAAACGGAGAATCAGAATCCGGGAAATACACCCAAGATTTATCAGCGAGGTCCTTGGGTAGGTGACCGGTGAGGCCGACGCCTACGATGTGAGTGTGTGTGTACACCAGTTGGGATGCGAGCTGCCGCATCTGCTCCAAAGATGTATCTTTGCTCTGCAAGGAGGATGTAAAGACGTCTAAGGGGACCGTCGAGAATAAGGTATCGTATTCTAAGGTGTAATGTGTCTTACTATCCGTTCCAGCCTCGACAGTGATAATTTTCCGGTCTATATCTATACCTGTTACTTTTTCGTGAAATCTGAACCAGTGGCTTGGAAGCATTCTTGCAACTGACTGCCAAATCCCACCAGTTCCATTATATTTGGGGAAACGGAAGAAACGGTTCGGTCCCCACTCGGAATCCTTGGCCTCTATCCCGTTATCCACCTCTTTAATCTTGGTCTTGATCTCTTCAATGTCTGGTACGGCAACCCGCTCACCAACCCAGGCTGAGTTCATTTCTTTGGTGTCAACTGTCCAAATTTTCCGGTTGTATTTCCTCATAAAGACGTCTGCCAGACCCACTCCGAATTTCTGCAGCAGCCACTCGTCAAAATTTTTGGGTTTACGGGTGATGGGATTTTTGGTAATCTCCTCTAATCCTTTCAGGCTTTTCTGCTGATCAATTTTATCCATGACGTGGATGTTGTTCTGAACTGGATAAGGAATGAATCTCCTCTTGTCATCTGATCCTTTCATGAAGGCAAATGACGCCCTGCGCCGGTAGTTCCACTCGGGTACTGCCATGTTCAGAACTCGATCGAAGTAAGTGTAGTGGGAGAATACGACATGAACTCCGACGTCCCAGAGAAAACCTTTTTCATCCCTGGTAGAAGAAGCAAGGCCTCCTGGTCTACCTAGCTCTTCCAGGATGGTGATCACGCTGTTGTTTTTGCCTTGACCGAGATCGTACAGTCTTTTAGCAGCGCCCAGAGCAGTGGGTCCGGAGCCGATGATGACGATTCGGTTCTGTTTCTTCGGTTCATGAGAGTTGTTTTTATCATCGGTTACAGATGGTGGACGGGGGACTGGGGTAGCATTTGGAACTGCATGGCTTCTGTCTTTCCCTGGTTCCTCGGCAGGTACCACGGTTATATATCCTTGATTCGATGTACGCTGGTCTCTTGCCGTCTTTGAAAAATTGGAATTTGAAGAATTGGACTTTGAAAAAATACTGTTGATTTTCGGCCGGGCATTTCCTGAAAGGATCAAAATAAAGACAAAATTAGTTTGCGGGAGAGGTTATCCAAAAGGCAACAGGTTGCAAACAAGTCGGTAATTATTAATGGACAATGATAAGCAAATTGAGGATGCACTGTGTTTATATTCAAACCTGACTTTGGCTTTCAAACCGGGTTACCGAAGACCTGAAGAGGTCCACAGGGTGCAGGAGGTGACGTTTTGTGGTCTTGCACACGTCCATACTAGGTTCCCCCCTCGGGAAAACAGGCTTAGAGGCATTTGGGGGTTACGTTTATCAGTCGCAAAATGAAGAGGAACATTCAAAGAAATCATGATAAAAAACAATTATGATAGGGTTGAAAGAGTGTTCACAGCGCGAGTAAAATAAGTTTTATTCCGAGTTTTCGTAACTATACACAGAAAACACAAAGTGAGTAATTTGACTCAATACATCAATACAAAAGAATGTCCACAGTAGGTATGAAAGGTAATGGACCGATCCAGTATAAAGCCCCGCCCACTGCGCACGTGGGCAAATTAACACGTGCTTCTCTCCAATGCCACACTGCATTTTCCTGCCGCGCGCATCATACGCGCGTGCACGCATGTCGGACTTTTGTGCACGCATGTCGGACATGAATCACGACTGTGATTGGTCAGAATACCATGGGGCGGCGCTTACTGGATCGGTCCATTAGGGTGTAGGCAAGAGTGTTATTAATTACAGTGTTTCATCAGCAGTGATAATTATTTTGACATGACCGACTTTCACCAGGGGGAGAACACCTTTTCCATTTTTTTACGGGGCATTATGTGGGAAATATTTGGGGAAATTGTGCCTTTGGTGATACAATCATGGCATTTGGCACACGGTTAGAGTTCAGCATTTTCAAAATGGCTGCTAGGTTATTCTACCTATACTTTCTCAAAGGACAAATCTGCGATGACCCTATAGCCAAATATATTTTTCTCATGACATACTTTTACTGTGTGCCGAATTCCATGCTTGTATCATCAAAGGCACAATCCCATCACCTATCTGCCGTACTATTTTGGGAGCGAATCTGTGTAAGCCTCTGATGTCTAATTCAAACGTGAATAATTTTGATATTGCTTGAAAACAAAATGGCAATTCTAGGAAAAATACATATGTTTTCGTGGTGAAACGCAGCACAGGGAAGCAGCTTTAAATATTTCAATACCAAGCAATGTTTCACTGTAGGCCTGTGCCTTCGGTACCATGCCAATGTGATTGACAAGGCCTGTTCTTTACCACAGCAATAGTCCAAAAAAGGAAACCATAATGGCAGGGCCAATTTGTCAATGAAGTTCTGCATCTAGCACCATCGAAATCTAGGATATGAAAGCTCAATTGATAAGCTTTTTCTTTTAGTACAAGAATCATTCAAATCACTCATGTACTTTTCAAGTTACGAATTCAAAACACAACCACCGTTTTAAAGTTCTGTCCACGAATCACAGAAAAAGGTAAGTGTTCTTTCAGCAAAACGAAAACAATTCACACAGGGATGTGTGTGAATTGCTTTCGTTTTGCTGAAAGAACACACAATTGTCAAACTGGAGACGAATGTTACCTTAAATATCAAATATAATGACCATCAAAGAGGAAAATGAATCATATGTATTTCAGGTATTTGTATCACATACATATTTATGATGTTGAATTATGCCATAACACCCCCTCCCCTCCGAAAAATACAAAAGAAACAGAACCCCTTCGGAAGTATATACAGTGCTCGAGGTATCGTCGTTTAATTACGACCAGTTACCATGCATACTGGTTTGTCAAGGATTCAAGAGTGCATGAAAATGGTTGAAAGCATTTCGTCTCATTAATGAGCCTCCTAGTATTATCTGAGAATAACAACCCATTGTAGTCCATATCGTGAACCGACCTTAATTTGACATCGTCCCGATGTTGTCAATATTTCACCAGGTGAGGTGAAAGGTTTCTACATTATAATTATAATTATAATTATACGAGGCTATTCATGCGAAAAACAAAATGGCCTCGGCGTTGCCATCGCAACCGTCAATGCCTGACATGGCAACGTATCATGTTGACCATAGCCAACACGCTCTTGGTTGTGGCAGACGAGTCAATATTCCCCAAATTGCTATTATACCAGTCTGTCCATTTTTCTCTTAATAGAGGGGTTTTCTTTTTGCCTGGCACTCTGACGGTTCGTAGCAATGAAAGGTTCTGAGTTCTAAACCGGTCTTTGAAATTGTATCTCTGATATTATTCGGCATGAAATAAGACTCGAATGTATTTTTCAATAGACCTTAGTTACGAGGAGGCCATTTTTGATCGTGTCCCCTGAATCTATTTTTTTTTTATTGCAAACTGTTGAATTGAATGGTGCCAGACTATTTTATGATTGGCGCGCATTCCACGCCTCACTTTCAAATTTTTTTTATATGTGGCTTATAAAACACTAGAACATGTTCAATCACACGTTGAACATACTCCATTTGTAACGAACTTTATTTTATTGCTTTATTTCATTTCATATACTCCCAAGTTCCAAAAAATGATGACTTAGCCTCGCTTTCAATTTAATATGGCCGACTCGTGCATAAAGTCTATTGCGTGAAGGGATAATTGTGTGTGGGGGGGGGGGGTCATAATGGCAACTGGCTTATTGCTTAAGAGGCGATGACATCTGGAGGGAAATAGTTTCCCAAACATCATTGGATATAAAGCCCCCATGATGGTTGCCTTAAACAAGAGTTGTAATTATCGGTTTTTGGAAGCGGGGTTATTTATCATTGGTGTCTAATTCATGTACTGGTCTGCACCCTCATGTGTTTACAATGAATGCGAATTCTAAATAGCAAACCGGGAATCACTAGTTCCAAAGAAATAAGGACACAACAACAACAACAACAACAACAACAACACTTCGGACAGCACTGTTTGTCCGTCAGAAGAGAGAATCATGGACAGTCTGTTGAATGATGACAAATGCCTCTCCTCGTTCTGATGGCAATTGTTTGCTCAGTAAATTGAAATGAATTGCATTGAAAGTAATGTGTATTGTTAGCTCTAACTTGGAACGGTTAGAAATTCGGGGATCAACTTGACATATACAAGTTGTCGTTGAATAATATTATTGTTTCCCCTTCCATGTCGCTGCTGCTCAGTTACCACTGCATTACCCATTTATCCGGGTTCAAGGTTCAGCAGGCATTTGAATCCGTAACGGTGTTCAGCATCGCACAGAGCCTCTTTCGTTTGTGTCGCACGATAACATGCAGTGAGCTATATCGTACCTGTGGGCGCCCGCCATAATCACTGCAATCATAAGTAATGAAGCATGTCCAGCGAAAATATATTTCCGTGATATATATTTTGTGAATTTGTTGGTTAGTTTTGGAAATGACTGGCCATAGTTTGCCAACCGCCACATCTGGCATGAAAAAAAGGCTTGGCATTTTTTTTTTCTGAACTTGCTTTGTTACAACTGCGCACAACGTTTTGCCTAAGGCGCAAGCTTTAGTCATGCAGTTAATTATAGCACAAATTTAATTCCGCTCGAAAGCAACAGACTACTAGACCGGGAGCCGGGGAGGGGGTCAGCCTAGCTGAAAAAAATAACCAATTTTCATGCATATAGCAATGATCCACATGCATACCAATGTAATGAAATCGACGTCTGCCGGGCACACTGTGGTGGGTATGGTCAGGAGGGCCATGAGAAAGGGGCCCCAAAATTGAGCTAGATCAGCTGGTGAGTTAACCCAATGAAACCTACTGGAAAATGCTGGGCCTAGTCCCAGGTATCATGCATGGCCACTGCCAGACATTTTCAGTGGTGGAAGGTGCCCGCCAGACATGAAAAACCTTTATAGGAGGGCCCCTCCCATTCCTTTTCGCTGATACAGTTGCAACGCGACGACATAGAAAAATGTAAAACCGGTTTTTATAAGTGCCTTAATGCTTGAAGAATATAAAAATGTAACTTACGAGTACTTTAAGATCAGACTAATTAACTTAAGAGCGACACCAATAGCATGGAGGGGGCGGGGCCGCCACCCCCTCCAAGCATATTTTCATTTATATCATCGCAACGCATTTTTTTAATCCTATCAAGTTTTCCTGGCATGTTTGCCAATGCCTTTTGGCTATTTTGTACCCATTTCTAACAAAAAAAAACACTGTTCTCATCAAATGTCTATTTCCCGAAACAAGTACCGGTAGGCTATTGACCAGGTTAGCAGTACATGTACATGTAAATTAGATTACACGTGCTGTGGTCGGAGCTTATTAAAAAAAAAAAAGGGTACGGATAATAAACACTTCAAAACTTACAAGAACAGGGTTTTTGCACCTTTTCCCCTGTTCAGTTATGCTTTAAAATACATTTGGACACAAGGTAAAACATTCTTACGTTATAACACTTGTTATTTTACCCTTTTGTGGGCGTGGCCTAAATATGTAAATCAGAGTGTGATTAAGAGCACTCTGATTCAAACGAGGCAAATTTGTAATTTTGCTGAAAAAGGCATGACAGTGGTACCGGTATGTATATAAAGAAACACGTGCCATGGGGGACACACGGGCATGTAGGGATGGATGGAAAAACATATATGAGAGAGATAAAGAGTAAGGAGGGGGAGATAAGAGGGTATTATGCTTGGGTGAGAATGGAGGGGGGGGGGAAATGCCCAATTATTAAGACTCCTATGATCCCACTTCTTGCCACTCTCTTTGTCCCCCGCCTGATGTCTCTCTCAACCCCCACCCCATATCGTTTATCCTCACCCAAGCAAATCTCTTTCGTTCGTTGCCGGTCATTTCTTCCCCATTTGATGTTCACCTGTGGATCCCTCCTCTACTCCAATAATCCCTCTTTTGTGTGCTGGCCCCATACATTTTCTTGCAAATGCCATTTTCCAGTGGGTTTCATTGAGTTCCTGCTCTATACAATACCGTACTTATTGGGCCGAGGACTTTGTCAAAGGAGCCAACGTGGCACGATCACGAAAAGAAAAGATGATCATGAACTATGAGGTCAACCGTTCACTGAATCGGTTGATACCGGGCAAGCATTGCGCCCAGGTAGGCCTGCATAATAGTGGGCCAGATAGGGGAAATATTCGGGGAAATTGTGCCCTTTTAATAACAAGCATGGCATTTGGCAGAGCATGTCCTAAGAATTGGGCTATCGGACATCGCAGACTTGTGGAATGGTATAGGTAGAATAACAAGCAATGGCGGCCATTTTCTTGTCATTGCTTGTTATTCTGCCTAGTGTGCCAAATGCCTTCATCAAACTTTAAGGCACAATCCTGCACCTATCTATCTGCCTTACTAACATGTTCATGGGCGGCGATCAAGGGGTCGAGGGGTGCCAAGGGGCAGTCCCATATACCCTTTATCCCTAAACAGAAAACTGAGTTTACATTTAAACAATGTATATTAACACCGTCGTGCTTGAATAAATCACGAAATTTACCTGAACATTTCAACATCATTTCATCATCAAAACTGCTGTAACAATCAATTACAGCGGGGATGTGAAAAATTCGACATAAAATTACAGAATCTTTTTACAGTGTATACGCATACGGACGTATACATGTACGCATGTGCATAACGAAGTCGCTGATTTGCTAATAGGTTTTCCCGGCCAAGTTAGCAGATGTGGCGGCCAAATTGGTGACCAAGCACCCATTTTCGCACGAATTTGAATGCACGTTGATATCAACATTAAATTACCTAAAAACACCAATCAATTTTATATTAAAAGCATGCAATTTCACATTTAAATCATGCAATTTCAACAATAGGGCATTCAAATTAAAATTGCACAAACGAGCATCCAAATTCGCCGGAGCTTCCAGCTGTGTAAGTTTGGTCATTCGAATTCACCATTAAGCAAGCATGTGTGTAAAGTAAGCAAAGTAATTCGAAATAGGTCCATGTCGTTCCGTTGTTTGTTAGAATAAGATGGAGTGCTTTTTGTTCCAATTTGGAAACATGGGCGTCACGAAGTGCGCGAAGTGTAAATTTAATGGGTTGGGGGGAATGTCCGTGCCCCCTTTAAACTGATAAATCGAGAATATGGTGGGAAATACAGGCATTTTTTTGGGGGGGGGGAATATGTTTTGCCCCCCTCTAGAAAAAATCCTGGGGACGCCCATGTTGGAAATATAGATATAAAAACCTCCAACAAGACTCTGCGACTACTCTGATCACCATGCAAACTGTTCGATTGAAGCACTAAAATATTAAATGGGCGTTACATGAGAATTCAAATGTAGACCCTGGTCGTTTGATCGAAACTTTCGATGGCAATGCCCAAGACTATCTTGAACTTGCAGACAAGCTTGCCATAAACAGATCTACTGACAGGTCAATTGTAGCAACGTATCTCAGATCTGGCAGACAGAAAAACCTGCCTAGAGGAGGGGCCAGAAAAACAAAAATGGACCACGACATGAAGCAGAAGAAAAAAAAATTAAAGGGTGAAAGAAATGAAAAGACTCGCATCGTCTACTTTCGTTTACTTTTATTTTGAATGCAAAAAGTGCTAAATAGAATGCGCGGAAATGAAAACGAAAACAAGAATCTGATGCAAATAACCCCCAACCAAACCGACTGCTAAATTGAATGATCACTTAAACCGAATGACATACCTTCAATTTAGGATGTGTTAAACATGAAAATGTCGGGTTTTAAAACGAATTTGAACGCCTGAAATCTACTACGAACCACGGGAATGACAGCAGGACGCTAAGTCGCTTCAAATTGGCCACTATCAAGATGAATTCGAATGCTATTTTTGGGAAATTGGCCGGGAAAACCTAAACTAGCTAATCAAAGTTTATATTATTTTAAAGCCTATGATCTTGTTTATGATTGGTGAAAATATAAAAAAAAATCCATCTGCGCAAACCAGAGTTATCGTTGATTTTGTAAGGCTATATTTTTTCCTCCTGCACAATTAGAATCCTGTAGTTAAGCTTTAATAGGCCAATTCATTTCAGCTGTCAAAGAAGATTGCATGTTCATTGTCCTTTCAAAATCTTTGTCAAAGACTAAACACCTGGTATTGTCACCTGGTAAGTGGTATTAGTTTTGACTATTATATGTGCCCAAAATTCACGTGCATTCCTATGAGAATTGTTTTCGTTTTGCTGAAAGAACACTTACCTTTTTGTGATCCGTGGACAGAACTAAACGGTGTTTGTGTTCAAAATTCAAACTTGAATAGGACATGGGTGATAATGATTTGAATGATTCTTGTACTAAAAGAAAGCTGATTTGAATGATTCTTGTACTAAAAGAAAGCTCATTGAGTGGGCTTTCATATCCTAGATTTTGAAAGTGCTGCAGGCAAAACTTCATTCAAACAGTGGACCTGCCATTTGGGTTTCGCTTTCAGTGTTTTTACTCACCCTGCTGCCATGTACAATCGAAACACGGCGAAAAACTAACAATATTATTTGAATGGAATTACCTGGACCAATGCCTGTGGAGAATCCGACGTCCAGCTTCCAGGCGATCTCAGTCGTCAGAACGATTAAGAATACCACCAACAAGACGAAGAGACGAAAACTAGTGTTCATGTTGAGTACCATCGTCGTTTCGTTTCACGTTTATCTCCAATGCTCGAAGAACAGTGTTAAGCAGTACAGCGATTCCATGTGACGCTACTTATTTGCACATAATGCATTTGGCAATGGCCTCCGGGTTCTATTTTATGCAGCTATTCTATTGCAGTGAAATAGTGGCTCCAATAGAATATCGTATTGACGAGGTCACACGTACCTTGAATAGGCAACAGGGGGCGTAGCACGGTCAGTTTTATTATTTTGACCGTGTACTTCAGTCTAACTCCATCGGCGCGGCTGGTATATTATAATCGGCCGGGTTGCGACAAATCTAACGACTTGACGATTACGTTCGCGCACCGTCATTCATATATGCAAGCAGCGCAATACATATGCAGTGCATTTTTGCGGTGAGATCCAATCGCGCACCGCTATGCAAATGATGACTCATTCATTCCGATACGTCAGGGACATGTTTGCAGATCCGGCGACATTTTAATGATCAATACACTCAGCTTGGTCAATTGTGTATAGAAATAAAATGTATCATTGTGATATACTTGATTTATTTGAGTCGTGTATGCCCCATAATGAATTTTGTAATGTTACACAACTCAAAGTACAAACCCTCGAAGTAATGAGAAAGATCTTCCGTGGCGGCCTAGAATGCACTCTGGAATCTGAACCAGTAATTAAGAGTGCTCGCATAGAATTCCGCTAGCGATTCAAAATACTCCCATTAATCTTGCTGCGCCATGTTGTTTCCCATCATGCCTTGCGTGATCTTAAAACTTGGAATTGTCTAATTCAAATGTGTCAAATAGTGGCACATTAGGACTGCAGTCGATGTATCTAACGCGCAACGCAGTGCTTAAAATGTTTTTGGGTTTTTTTATCAATCCTTTCAAACATGAGGTTTCGACGTCGAGTAATTTAGCGAGGATTTGTATCGTACCTCTCTCGTCCCTTTACTGCCGAAAATACAGGGTCTTTGGGCGGAAACGAGGCTACCATAATCCATATCGTACAGGCATCGCGCAGTTTTGAAACAACGGCCGGGCATAAAACCTAGACACGCTTGGCGCGAAGACCCGATATAAGAAAGCGCCCGCTGATTGGTCAAAATCTAAAGTGCATTCGAATTTACCAATCAAACATTATGTTAGTCCTGATTTGGGAATGAAATGACGTCACGATTTAGTAAAGTCGACTCCGATTGGCTGAGGCGCGGGATCGCATAAATCGGCATGCTTACATAATATCAGACGTTAGAAGAGACTGGGCTCCGTGGACAACGGGTGCTACTCAGACTAGGGTTGGGCTGGGATGGGTTAGGAAAGCATTGCGATGGGATGTCGTGGGTTGGGATGTAATACGATGTAATTGGTAGTCTCGGTTCTCGACGCTCCTTGTGTTTTTATTCGACGAGCGCACAATCAACCCACCCAAAACCATTATCACGAACCATCGCTGATAGAGGGCGGTATCACACACAGACCGCTATCAGCCACGAACCGCTATCACACACGAACCGCTATCACAGGAGCCGTGATAGCGGTTCGTGTGTCGGACCCTGTTAAATTTCAAGTGGAACCATTTTAAAAATTTGGTCCGACAAGTTGTTTGTCCCATTCCCACGGTGTGTGGTTGGAATTCTTAGTAAGCGGGCCTCCTCCGCGCTGACCACGTCCTGTTCAGAAGGACATCTGAGACATTGCGTCACTCCACGGATCTAAGTTTTTCCTTCCAAAGTTCGCAGTGTCCATTGTTTCAATTCAAGGAAGTTCGATCACGTTGACCATTGAGTCATAAAAGGAGGACCAGATTGGTCAATCCCAAGCTGGCCACGTTCCCTCAAGAATGTTAGCCCATACTCCTTTTCTGATTGACTTTTCCGAAGATGATATCATTATTTTAGCTTTTTGACCAATTGGAAAGTTTTCCCAAACCTGTCCGAGCGCGTGATCAGTAGGGGTTTTTAAACCCTTGCTCCACCTCAATTCTTCAGAAGCGAAGAAGACCTCGATGCGAGAATATCTTAGAGTGCTACCCTTTGCACTTTTGATAAGTTAGCCTAAGAACGATTGCGGACTTCCCTAAGTCATTTTCTCGTGAGAGACGTTCCTAACACTTTCCCTCGCATCATTTGCAAACGTGCTCTGTTGATACAGAACACCGAGTCCCCAGGTCACGCTTTGAGGAGTCGACCCGGTTCGATTCTTCGCCCGGCCTGTTCCTGCTTCTCACCACCACCTCTCTCCGTCTGGACCACCGTTCGCTGGACTTCGCCTGGACGCTGCTGCTTTACCCGGACCCCATCCGAGTACGACACCGCATCGGCAATCAAGACGAGCTTCGCGACGCTTTGGACCCAGCTAAGACCTTATAATTATACATATTGTATAAAATTCATTGTTGCATTTGTATGTTGTATTCATTGATGTTTGCTATAATTCCTTGTGTTGATGTTTCAGTGGTTTGACTTCATTGCGCTTGTTGTATTTATTCATGCTGAACCTATGCATGCCTGTTGACTTCTGACTTACACAAAATTTGAAGTTTGTTGACCTTGAGTACTTTGCAAATTCTTTTCTTTGGATTCAGATGATCTGAGATTTTGCATATTGTTTTCACATCCTTTGATATTCTTGGTCTTTTCAATTAACTTTTGTTGCAATTGTTCAGATTTTTCCATTGTTTGGATTGCATTGTTGTTTCGAACCGTTACACCACTGAAAAGTCACACGTATGATATTTTGAATTTTTGGTGATTCTTTTATAATTGATTCTTGACCAATCACTGTGAACATTGATGATTTATGATGTGTTGATGAAATAATAACAGAGTGAATTTCTCGAAGAAAGGACCAACTTTAATTTCTGCTATCTGTGTGATTTTTATTCTGAGCAAAGTTCCGTCATTTAACAACGAACTGACATAGGTCCTCAAACAAAGCTTGAGATTAACCTGTGACACGTGTATATGGTGGTTCGTGGATGATAGCAACCTCGTCCCCAGGGTGTCGAGCAGTACGCGCCCATCACTACCTGCTCTCTCACCCTGGTATTGGATCATTTGCATATGTGCAAGATTTGTGAACACGTATGCAAATGAGGAACAGTCTGGTGCCTGGATATGCGTTACACATTAGCGTTTGTTTTTGTGTGCGGGGTCTGGGGTAAAAACAGTCAATTCGTCGCAGCGCGAGCATGGCGTGTGTTACGAAAACACGATTTATTTAAATAAACTGTGACGATCTTATTGAGACAACATGCTGTATCATATTTCATATTAATATGAACAAATAGGAAAGGAAATTAGTATTTTCGAGAAGGCGTGGACGAATGATCGCGAAAACACGTACTGCACGTTGTGAATAACAACACCAAGTACACGATATAAATCCATTTCTAGCCAAGTGCGGTATCGAATCAGGATACAGGAAGAAAGTTTCCTATCCAGGGCTTACTATTGGAAGCGTGCAGGAAATAAAGTAAGCACTGGGGACGAGGTTGGGCTGATAGCGGTCTGTGTGTGATACCGCCCTCTATCAGCGATGGTTCGTGATAATAGTTTTGAGTGGCATGGGTTGATTGTGCGCTCGTCGAATAAAAAACACAAGGAGCGTCGAGAACCGAGACTATGTAATTGGATGGAATGGGACGAGAATTGCATGGGTCCTGATTAGACTACGTGGAATAGCATGAGAAGGGTTTGCCCCCGCTCAATGTTAGTCTCTCGTTGCGCGGTGTGTTCTCCATCAGCTGGAGAGAACAACATTGACGGGGGGAGCGGGGCAGTGGGTGACCGTGGGAGGCTAAGGTTATTTCCAAGTGTCCCAACAATTTTTGCCGGGACTGTAGGCTATGAGGAAGCATTAAAACAAGGGGATGCACTCAAAATCTGCGGGATGTTAACGAAAGCTCACAATAATTAAGGACACAAATTGAAACGAACAATTTCCATTATTTACTCTTTATTATACCTCACTCTCGTCAGCCTTTAACCAGATACTATACGGTTGATTCTGGAGGTTTTCACCTTTCAAACACCTCAAACAAGGACAGAATCTGAGGGGGGATTCCAATGTTCGTACTCCATGGGTGCGTTCGAGCGTGTTACTCTTGCTACTCCCGAGTGCAGGAAAATGTTGCGTGCACATGACGGAGAGCGTTTTTTGCTCACTCGCGGCATAAGTATGAGCTGCCAATACGGCATAAATTTTAATCCGTGGTTGGCAACAGAAATTGGTGGTGTTGGTTGGTTATTTTGTATTCCCAACAACCAAATGATAATGTTTGAAACGAGTACAATTTATTTTGGCAACGTTGACTTTCCAACGTTGACAACCCGTGATTGGCAAAAATTGGTGGGCTTGCTTGCGCTTCTTGCTTGCAAAAGATTTCTTGAGCGCATGCCCCCGGCCGCCCATGTGCGCATAAAATTCGTCAATCGTACCACGATCTGACCTATCTGAATTTTTGACGAATTTGGGTTTTTAGCATATTCTGGTTATGCATGATGAAATCTTTATTTTCTAAAAATTTCAAATTCATAAGTGGCCTTATTAGCTAATTAAGCTGATTCAGCTAATTAAAAATGATGACCTATCGCTACAAAATGCTAAATTATCATTTCACGAACTGACGCATCGAGATAGGTCACTTCGTGAAACGCGTTAACAACGCGGTCAGTTTTCCACGAAGTGACTTATAGAGTCTGGTACCTGGACTTAATGTGGTCCATATCACTTTCTTATGAAATCGAGTTACTAGGGGCCAGTCTTTAGCGTTATCAGAAACAATGGCGGCGTACACATGTCGTTTAATGGCTGAACGAAACTAGCAAGTTTCAACCGAGTTTCTGATTCTGTAAACGTCTGTATATTCCTTCTGTATTTTGACACTCGTATTGCAATATGATTGTGTTGGGCTTTGTCTAAATACATGTCTTGCAGAGACTCGTGTGTATGATAGCACAAAAATCCTACACTAATTAGCCTATTGGTGTACTCTGTAGTGTAGACGGTAGTGGGTAGTCATAATCAATCAGAATAACACTTGAGTGGGGTTCGATTCTACGGTGGCCCTGGAACGACATTTTAATATTGACTTTTTTAATGTGAACCTTGTATAAACCTCTTAATATTGACGTTGTACCTTCGCAATATGCACGTTGCACGTAGCTTAATATCGCATTGTGGAAGTTGTTCCTTCTTAATGTGAATGTTCCAACTTGTTAATATTCACGTTCGATCTTGTCAATGTACACCATCGGAAATCTCTCGTAACTATGATTAAAAACACAAAAAAAT